AGCAGGGAAGGGAGGCCTCATTTCTTCATATAACATCACTGTGCAAATCCCCTAGCCATGACCATGGCCCTTCTTGCAAGGATATGTATCAGGGCAGTTAAGAGCATGGGCTTTGCAGTCTGCTGCACCTGGGTTCCAGTCTTTGCCATTTGTCAGAACTTAGATTAAAGAAGTAGCAACTTCTATTTATCTATGGCATGATGTCAGCATTGACAACTGCTATGAACTGTCCTCATCTGTGAAATGGCTGTGATGACTTATCTCTGAGGGGTGTGAGGGTTCACAAATATGATGCCTGTAAAGATGTTAGCATGTTGGCTTATGATCGGTGGTCTGCTATGAACGCCAGTATCATGTAGCTTCACGTGACATTTGGGAAGAACAGGGTTAAGGAGCTTCACCGTGCTCTCACACTGGTGTTTACATAGTGGTATCTGTGCTTTCCTGAGTCACTCAGTGGTAGCAGAAGGAATGGACTGTGTTTTCCATGGAGAAGGGCTTGCATACTCCCAGTTCTAAACAATCTGGGTGGTGCCAGCGCCCAGATCAGACGCTGGCAAGTGGCTGGGTTGTGCTTTTATTAAGATCTGTTCAAAAGAACAATGCTGTCCACAAAGGACCATACTGTCTGCCAGATTAAACACCGAACTTACCCAATAGCACATGTTACCCACCTCAGAAGGAAAAATAAATCCATTTTTCTTGAATCAAGCTTTAGTGGCATGGCCAAGGGATTAGTGAATTATATCTGTAAGTCAGTCTATGATTCTAAGGCTTACAAATGCATGGATGGTTCAGACCATTGTCTCCTGAAAAGACTATTAAATGTTCTGGCAGACTTCAAATGCATCCCCGAGGATCAGAAAAGTGAAGACCAGCTTTCGACATCTTTCAAAAGCTGTATCTCCAGTGCAGGGCTATGTGGGAGAGGATGGAAAAAGTCACTTATGTTGTGCTAGGAGGAGGACCAGAAGCTATGCTTGTAATATTAGCCGTCATTTTTCTACCTTGCTGTCATGTCTGGTAGTCCCATGGTAAATCAAGGGCACAAACCTACTTTCTTTCCTTTCATGCTTTCTGTATGGCCTCTTGCTGCTTGGGGAAAGATGAGGCCACAGGGGCATTTCTACATAGCAAATTCACACATTGGTGAGCATGGTGGGGGAGGGCAGTGGAGTCATCCTACCGTGTGTTTGGAGGGGAGGAACTAACAATATACAGTGTCCAGACATCAGGTGTGTCTCTAGAATTTAATTGCACCTACTATTGAGTTTTCACAAAAATGCTTACAAAGGAAGTATTAATAGTCATTAAATCCTGATTTCTAGAAATCGAGTCTTAGAGAATTTAGCAACTCGTTTGAAGCCACAGGACTCCTGAGCAATGAAGTGGAGCTAAGCCTGGTGGCAGAGGCCTGCAATCCAACTGCTCAGGAGGCTGAGCAAGAAGGATCATGAAGGCCTGCTGGGTAATTGCATGAGACCTAGCTTCAAAACAAACCATGAAAGGAAACAGAAGGTGGGGGTACAACTTAGTGGCAGAACTCTGGCTGTGCAGGCATGAGGCTCTGGGTTTAATCCCTAGTCGCATGTTAAAAAATAGATGAAGAGAAGATCTGAACCCAGAGACTGTAAGAGATGTAGCTGGGTAGAGCTCTAGGTTCAACCCCAGCACCTCATAAACTGGGTTTGGGAGTAAGCGCCCATGATCCCAGCACTGATAGGCAAGAGAATCACAAGCTGAAGGCCATTCTCAGCCATATAATGAGTTTGAGGTCAGCCATGAGACCCTGTCTAAAATAGAAAAATAATTATTCTAATGAAATTAACATTGGAACTGTGGAATTAACCCTGCACACATACCATACACTTACTCTGTCCTTTCATCTGGCAGAGTTGCCATTAGCTTCATGTAGCTAATGCAATTTAAATTAATGAAAAGGAAATTTAAATTTCAGCCCATTGCTGTTGCACTTGTGATAGCTCATTTTGGCTGTCAACCTGACTGCACCAAGAATTAACTGAAACTCAAGCTGCCGGGCACTCCAGTGAGAGTTCTTGACCAGGTTATTTGAAGCATGAAGGCTCACTCTAAATCTGGGTGGCATCTTTGGCAGATGCCCATATAAATGGACACAAAAGAAGGAAACTTTGCTTTCTGCCTGCTTGCCCTCACTCTCACTGGAAAATTCTTCTATCCTATCTCTGTGGCATTCCTTTGCCAGTGTTAGGACCAGTTTCTTTGGGATTCCAACACAGACTGAAGACCAGCAGCTCTCCAGGAATTCTCCAGGCCTTCAGCACTAGATTGGGACTGCTCAGACATCCAGCCTTGTGGACTGAACAACTACAGGATTCTCAGCCTCTCCACTGTGAGATAACTATTGTTGGACTAACTGAACCACATCCTGTAAACTAGTCTAATAGCTCCCCATACCCCTCATATGTATGTATGTATGTATGTATGTATGTATGTATGTATGTATGTATGTATGTGTATCAGTTCTGTTCCTTTAGAAAACCCTGACTAATACAGAACTTTATAGCTTAGACAGTGCTGATCTCTGGAGTCTTTTTTATCAGCCTCATCACACATGGCTCCGTGTTTCCCTTCAGAAAGCAGAGGCAGAGGGGCACTGTCCACTGATGATCCTCTGAGAATTATGGGGACAAACACCCCCTCATCTCTCCCTTAGAAGGAGACTATGTATTCTCTCTTGGCCTTTTCCAGACTCCTACTTGAGGCCCCTTTTTTTCTCATAAGGTCCTCTAATGTTGTCACAACAGACAAACCCAGAACATCTGTTTTAAGAAGATGACACACATCAGAACAGCAAGGAGCTAGCAAGAACACAGATTCCTGGGCTCTGCCTCTGTTGAGCTGTACTGCAGAGGGCCTGGACAGAAGACTGAGGAGCACACATGCCCCAGTGGCTCTAGGGCAAGTGATCTTGCCTAAGAAACCAGCTTTAGAGGATGAAGTATGTATTTATCTATTGTCCTCTTAAATAAGTACAGCACATGAGTGAGTGCTCCCAGGCAGTCCTCACCACACTGACTGCTTATTTCTACAACGTCAGGGAAGGTGCTTATTCACCAAAGTCTTATTTTTCCCCCATCTGAAACATAGGGGTAAGAACAGCCAAGCTTTGTCCTCTGGGACAAGTGGGAATACAGTCAGTAATAGCATTTGAGAAGAGATAGAAGGGAAAACTCATTGTATAGACATCTTATGACTTGGCTTTTGTTTGTCTAGCAGAAAGTTTAAATGGATTCTGCATCTTGGAAAATCTGTGTTTTTAACTGCTATGAAAGATCTAATCAAGAGGGGCATGGCTCTGGAGTCAATAGAGCTTGTTCATCCTGAAATACTTGGGTCAATAGCCAAGTTTGGATGGGAGGGGTCACACAGGCCCTACTTCTCCCTGTTGAACTACTGGCTACTGATGACTTTGGAAGTATAGGAGTCATTATCTTTGGATGTGTACCCACCAAGCTCCACTGGATAATTCCAGGCTCATGGGCACTCAGCCAATCCTGGTTAGAACTCAGTGGGTCCCAAAACAAAACAAAAAGACACAACATGGAAAAGGGACCCATTGGGAGGAGGGGAAGTGAACAGGAGTGGGAGAGAAATGAGAGGTTGGGGCACGGGAGTAATCAGAATACACTGTACACATATATGAAATGAATTGTCAAAGGGCAAATGTATTTAATTTTAAGAAGCTCAGTAATTCTCAAACTTTTTGGTTCTGATTTTCCAACTCAGAAATAAGAATAATGATATGTTTTCCTTGTAGTGTTTTGACAGCTTAATTAATAGCTAATATTTGTGTTGTGCCCAGAACAATGGTCGACATGTGGTGTGGTTGGCATGTGGTAAGAGCTGTATGCGTTAGCTAAAATATTCATGTTTAGGATAACTGGTAGCTGGGGCTGAGCAGCAGCTGAGCCCATCAGATGGGACTAGCAGAGTTTACCACCTCTATTCACAGTCCAAGTGCACCTACAAGGAAATGTTATTAGGCTGCAATGTCAAAATGGTGCAGACCCCAGACTCTGACTGTGGGACCTGCTATGAGGCATGCCTATGATTCTGATTCTCTGCTAACACTGAGCACATGCTAGCGCATTTTTATCAAGGGGCAGCCTAACACGAGGCTCTGCTGAGCTTGACTGAAACACTCCCAACAAATGACTCACCGGTTGAGTTTTAACAGCACCCTGGCTGGTTTACATACCCTGGTCAGTAAGACAAGCACACAAAATGTGCACTTGGATGTTAAAGCCATGGTTATCTTAGTCAACTAGCTTACCTCTACAGCCATCTAGAAAATTGTTGGAGACAGTATCCTGAGGTGGTCTACTTCCATCCTGTCCATTTTAGTCAACTTTCCTCCTCCTCTGATATATATATATATATATATATATATATATATATATATATATTCATATGATATTGGGGTTCAGAACCCCCCCTGAAAACTGGGAAACTGGGTTCCTCAAGCAACACCAGGCTGGGGCTCTTGCATCTCTGGTGTGCAGTAAATACCACCACCTTACAGCTATTCTTTCTCATGAATGCTGTTGTCCAACATGATGACTTACCCACGGCCATCCCTTCAACTTTGTTACATGTACATACAATGCCACTCTCTAGCAGTCCAAGGCAATGATGGGTGGGCATGGTAGGATGACATATCAGTCTGAATGTCACCAGAAGAAACCTACTTGCCACATAATCTCTAGAGCCCCATGGGACAAGATGAAGCCAAACCACAGAGGAGACGCCATTCCTGTCTTGGCTCCTCCCCTTCTACTGGGAGTATCTGCCCACCCCTAACCTCATTATGCATCACAGGCATCCAGACTTTGGACTCAGGCTTTCTCTATATTCCATCAAAGACAGAAAGTCTCTGTCATTTGGGTTAACCTTCCCCAGCAGCCAGCTGGAGAAGGGCATTGTGGAGAAAAACACTGTATTATCCAGGACCAGCCTACCTGTTGCATTGGACAGGGCCAGTGATTCCATAGAGCCACGAGGAGTCTGTTCTGTGGGTGTCATGTCCTCTGTATATTTGAGGGAACTGAGCGGATGACGGGGCCGGCACTGCTGGGTAGATATGCCACCTTCCTCTTCTTCTTCCTCCTCCTCATACTTGGGAACTGGGATGCTGCCTCGGGTTTCACTAAAGCTTTGGCTGGACATATCGCTGTAGCTCTCCTGGGACATCAGCCTCCCTGGGTAATAGTCCTCACGGCATTCCTTGATAAAGCTGCCACCGTGCCCCTTCATGGCCATTGACGAGCTTCTCTTGGGGTTGCTGAAGTGCTTGGCCCACACATCAGGCTGGGCTCCTGCTCCCTGCCCTCCAGAACCATAGGAAGTTCTGATGTTGCACTGGCTGAGAAGCTGCAAAGGACTCTGGGATTGGTTCTGCTCCATCTTGTTCCCATAATGGAAGGGCTCATCTCGGCTCCTCCAAATGGGGTCCCGATTGAGGCTGGGCGTCTGACTGGATAGGCTGAGGAGATCCATCTGCACTGACAGGGGGTCCACATCGGCTGAGAGCCGGTTAGAACTCACCTGCAACTGGCTGTGCTGGCTCAGCATGGCCTCCTCTGTTTTGCCTTTGTTCTTGCCGATTTTGGCACTGCGACGAGACTCCTTGGCTCTGGCGTTCTGGAAAGCCGAATCAGATGAGTCAGAGCCATTGGGGTCCTCCCCAGCACTGCAGGCCCGTGAGCAGAATATCTGGCCCTGCTTTGGGAGGAACGGTCGCCCCAGGAGGGACTTCTTACAATGAGCGCAGCAGAAACAGGTCTCTGTAGCATGCCAGTGTTGGCCGTCGTAGGTCATTTGACCTTGGTCGATACCTGGGAAGCAAGAGACAGAAAGAAGGCTGAAGAGTTGTACTGAGCACTACAACAGAGCTGTACTGAGCACTACAATATCACATGAAACATCACACACACACACACACACACACACACACACACACACACACACACACACACACACAAATACTATGTCAGTCACTCTATGATCAGGCCCGTGCAATCAGTGCTTACACTCTGTTACAACTTATTCTACCAGTCAGCAGACTTCACAACTTCCCTTGCTAGCAGCATGGAGAATGTAGATCAGAACAGCTTAGCCATGAATTCTGCCAGAGACACAATTTCCCCAAATAGCAACAGAAGTTGAGCAACCTTAATCGAAAAATCCAAAACCAAAATGCTTTAAAAGCCAAAATTTTGGTGTCAACAAGATGCTGCAAGCAGAAAATTCTGTATAATAAAATTGCTTCGTGTATAAAAGTATTTAAGTTGTCCTATAAAAGCATCTTGAGATTACATGCATAAGCTATATAGGAAATATAAATGAGTTCCATGTTTAGACTTGGGTCCTATCTCTCAAGCGCCTCATTATAGACACGCATGGTTCTAAAGGCTGAACTAATATTGCTCCCAGACATGATCAGCTAAGGGATATTCAATCTGTGACACTACTAGCCTGATAAAGCACTTGACTGTTTGAGATGAGCTTTTACCAGGGATTCTGTTTTCTGGACAAGGAATGCATATAGAGTAGGCTAATGACTTGCCTAAGGTAATGTAATTAGGCACCAGAGACCAGATCTGTACTCAGAAGTTCTGAAAAAAACCATAACAGTCCTGTCTTCTTTACTCTACTCAGGAATCTGATGTCTCAAGAGCCTTCTTGTCCACTGACAGTGGTAGCCTTGGTTGCTTCTCCACTCTTTCTTGTAGTGTCATTACTCCTTTTCACCATGCCATCATTCACACTTAGTGGATCTTTCCAGACACCAAATCTGTCAGGTCCTTGACCATGGCCTTCACATCCTCCAGAACTATGAGAAATTTTTGTACTGTTTAGAAACTGCCCAGCCTGTTGTTCTGAATAGTCTAAGTCAGTGGAAAGGCAAGAAGGGGCTTCAACAATCACTGTGGGAAATCCTGCTTACTTTTGGTAAGGAAAAAAAACCCATAGGTATGTTTGTAAAAGATGTCATTGCATTGGCACACAACCTGAACCCAATGCTATCCGGACAGGAGAAGGCACAGTTCCTCCATGGTAGGAATCTGCTGTCATGTTCCTGTGTGCTAGGGAAACTCCCATATCTCTTCATTCTGCTCTTGTTTCTTACTAGTTCCTTTGCCTTCTTTTGATGGACAGAGAGTACTGTCTTTATGGATGCCAATAGTTTGGGCACTGAAACAAGGTTGGAACAAACCTTGGCTAGCAGTCAACAGTATTTCCTAGTCCTTGGGGTCTGGTCTTGGGATGGCTCATAACTAGCAACAGGGCAATGAGAGCATTGCCTGCTCATTCTAAGAGTGATATAACAGGCAGTTGGAGTACCTACCCTGGGACCAACCTATTAGAATATAGACACTTGGGATCCCCATGGGTAGGAACAGATCTCATAAAACTGCCAATGTGTGATGATAAAGGTCTCTTCAGGAAAACAGCACTAAAATGAACCTCTGCTTTTTAGTGGTCAGAATTCCACAACCTGGGTTTTCAAGGTGTAACTTCCAGACACCTGTCTAGAGATGGCTAAACCAAGAACTGAGAGGGAAATGATTGCTGGGACCAAAGTGCTGTAGGAAACAACTTATTCCTAGCAGGCTCTGCCTCTGCTGGCTTTTATGTCACTAGAGCCTGGGGACAGACAGGAAGGAGGCAAATTCTTCTCTTGCTAGATGTTCTCCAATCTGGGGAAGGAAGTGTCTCTTCAACTAGGCACTAATCCCTTTTGTCAATAAGAGGGAAACTTCATGAAGACAAAGCTGTCTGTTATAGGGCAACCCCATTTGAGAAGGCCACTGTGTGACTAACTCTACCCCCCTGACCACCAGCATTCCCAGGTAGATTGAGGATGGAAAGTTGGGGTGGGGCTGGCAATAGACATCTCTAAGCTGGGCTCCAGCTAATGCTTCTGCCCAGGCCCATGGGAGAAGCATTTAACTGTATAGGGATGTAGAAAAAAAGTCCATCTGCTGGGTTCGAATCTTAGTTCTGTGCTTTCTATCAGTGTGGCTTCAGGAAAGTGGCTTCAACTCTGAGGCCTTGTTTTTCCCAGCAGAGGCAAAGATATAAAACTAGGCTGTTGTGAGTGACTACGTAGAGGACTTAGACCCAGTCTGCTAGCTATTCAAACTGTCTTTCCTTCAGTTTTATTAGGTCTGAAAGCCCCGCTCTCTCTTTGCAGAGGGCCACTGCCTAGATGCTATCCAAAAGCAACTGCTGAGACCATGAAGCCTCTCTTTCCCCCTCTACAGTTTTTCTTCTCTGTGTCAAGAGTCTTGAGAGCTCATTTCTTCAGCTGCCCAGGATCATTGATGACATTAAGTTACTTAACGTGGTATCCCACAGCTGTATCTCTGTGCACTCTCCACCAGAGAACTTGGAAGGGTAAGTCCTTTGCCCTGTCCACCACCATGCTGCAAGGGAATGTGCTCAGAGGTGTCAGAGGAAGGCCAAGCATTCTGGAACGGGGCTTCATAAGACAGGGTGTGGAGGGGGGAGTGAAGGGGAGGCAAATTACAAAGCAGCCCCAGCAGACAGCTCAACATTGCCTCTGATAAACATCATCAATGTCAGATGGCCCTCTGAACTGCTCCTGAACCCCAAACATCTGGAAAAGGGCTCTGTGTTCAACATCTAAGCATGCCTTAAAAAAATAAAACAACCCTCTAAGCCCTTTAAGCACTTCTCTAAAGGAGCATCTGCTGCCACCACAGCCTCATCTGTTTATAAGACTGTTTACTCTGCTATGCACAAGCAAGAGTCCCGTTGCCTTGGTAACGGTTGCCTGATGTAGGATCTGCTCTGAGCAGCTGCATAAATATGGAATATTTGTACAGTATGGGCAGAGGTGTGGCATCGATGGCTGGGGTATATATGATACACACAGCAGGGGCTCGATGTCCTTGGGAAGTTACATTTTTCAGAAAAGTAGACTTTAAAAAAAAAAATCAGGGACAGCAACTTAACTATAGCAGCAGACAGACTGCAGACCACAAGCAGTCACCTTTTCTAGTAAAATATGGATGGATGCCTTTTATGGATTCAAGAGGAAAGGAGGATGCCAATAAAAGCTGCGGACAGCTGAAAGAAGACGGAAAACAGAGGGGCCGTTTGAGGTACACACAAGCTAGCCATAAACAGAGTTTTCTCTCCCAAGCTTCTGCGAGAAAACTGTAAGTAGCCATTTGTGGCTAGGCTTGCGGCCTCTTGTGGAAAGGGAAAGGACACAGAAAAACTATCAGAAGGTGGTGTTGCTGCTGTGGGTTAAGTGTCTAACGCTCAGTCTTTCCACCTGGGTAAACACTGACCAGTGGTCTTAAACCTACCCCGTGCACATCCTGGAGTCAATACAATGTACTGCTGTCCCTGGGATGGTCCCTCTCACTTCCCTTCTTCACATATCCAGTCACAATTCTGGTCCCCATTTCCTAATTCAAAGTACCAAAGAACATCAGCATGTCTGAATGTGACAATCTTATAAACAGAAAGGTTTCTGGGCACCTGGTCAAGGTAGCATTTGGTGAGAGGGAGGGCACTCTGGTGGAAAGGGTCTTGCTATCACCAAAGTCCAGAAGGCAGTGATAAATCTCTGATTTCTAATGAACCCCAGGGAAAAGGCTGCTTCTTTTGGATCCTTACAAAAGTTAAGTGGAGCAAAACGGAGTTGTGAATGGAGGGTTTCCACATCTCCTCACTGTAGGCATGTCATTGGCAGCCTCTAAACAGGCTTCTTGGAGTTTTGTGACTACAGAAAGACCATAGATATTTGTCCACTACCACCATTCCTTAAACAGTGGTGTTCATTCCCAAGGCACCAGAAAAGGCAAGGCAAAAGCTGGTCCAATGAAGCAGAAGGGCTGAACGAATGGGGACGATTCTTAGCATCTTCTGTCTGCCATGAACTGGGAGCACACAGTTCATGGACTATTTGTTTTGCTCTGCCTTTGGCTAGGCTTACTGTTGACACACTTGCTGGAAGCCAGTGACCATCCCTTGTTACCAATGGACCCTACCCCCGTTCTTCCCTCTGTCCATCTGATTTTGTCTAAAATGTTGTTGAGAGATATGATTATTTCTCCCACATTTTCTTTTTGGGGTTTCACACTTTTGCCTGAGCGAAAAAGTACACCACAAAGTCCCACCTGAAGGTAGATCCATGGCCAAGTCAGGACTGATAAGATTCCATCCAGAGGAAGAACTGACTTGGAAATGGTACGTCAATTCCTTCCTCCTTTTGAGAAGGCATGTGTTAAGATGATGTATATAGCTAGAGCAACATTTCAATAACCATGTGAAGACAGTTTCCTCCCAAAAGATGCCAACAGAAGGCAAACTGAGCTAACACAGAGAAAAACAAAACAATGGGCCTTTTTTTTTTTAAACCCTTCATCCACTTCTACCTGAAAGCCAAACACTCTTTGGTTTTTCTAGTAAAATGAGCCAAGCTTCCTTTTCACTAAAGCTGGTAGCAGCTGGTTTGCTAATTGTAAGCAAAGGGATTCTATCTATGCCAGACACAGGGTGGAACCCATCTCAGTAGGATCAAGCTGAGTACCTTACAGTGCCTTACCTATATGTTGGGCACAGGTGTCACAATATTCTGCATATAGGGACTCAAAGCAGTGGCAGCAGTAGGGCCTTCCTTCCTTCATGATGTAGCGTTGGCCCCCCAGCACGGTCTCACACTCAAAGCAGCAGAAGTGTCTCATGTGCCAGTGTCGTCCCTCAGCTTCCGTGCACTCATCTGCAAAGATGATCTGGGGAGAGAAAGCCATGCATGGGTCAGTGTTCAAGATTCTCTGTGATGACACACTGAGTTACAGAGCCCCAACTACAAAGGTGGGAAAGCAGGTGTGACCCACAACCTGACAACACTGTCTATACAGAAGCTTATTCCACAACTTCATCTGCCTGGAGCACAATTAAATACGGTGACACATTTCAGTGGAGAGCGTGTGTTCTACCTTGGGGAGCATGAAGCAAAATGAAGAATGGCTTTCACACACCAGCTTCATTTGGCCGAGGCACAGTGTTTTCTAAAATGGGGAATGTCATATGAATCCTTGGAGCCGTCTTTTTTTTCTTCTTGAAAACATAAAATGGGGCAATGCTCTGCTCGGAATGCATTTATATATGATGATAATCTTCAGCTAAGAAAAGTAACTGCTGCTTCCAGATGAATGGCCAGTTGGCCAGCTGGTCATGGTCTTTAACACTTCCTGGTGTCTCAGAATTGGTCACTTTCATGTCTAATACCTTCCTGGCCCTGAGAAGTATTTTATGCTTTGACCCATCAGAGTTGTTTTAAACTTCAAAGCATATATTTTAAAATGTATTATGATGCTATAATAATCAGTTTAGTGTGTCACTGCCATTAAAACTAACAGAGATAAACTCTCTGAATTGAGAGTCTAGGAATTGGGTGTGTGTGTGTGTGTGTGTGTGGCACTTGGTTGGCAAAGGTGGTGCTAAGACTGTACTATGATAAAGAAATAGTCTCTAACAAACAGAGTTGGGATGATTGGAAGTCTCGTGCAAAACTATCTCCATAAAAAAATTAACTGAAAGGGGATGAATTACCTAACAAGAAAAGAACAATGAAGTTCTTAAAAGAAACTACTGTTTTAAATCTTCTTGACTTTGGTCTAGGCAATGGCTTCATAGACATGGCAACACAAATGTATATAACACAAATGTATCATGTGGACTTCAACAAAATTAAAACCTTTTATGATTTGAAGGATATCAACAAGAAAGTAAAAATACAGAGAAAGGGAGACCATATCTGTAAGCCAAGTACCTGACAATGGACTCGTATCCAGATCATATGAACAAACCCTCACAAGTAGAAAAAAATTTAATCCAACTGTGAAAAATGAGCCAAAGCTTTCAACCCATAGTTCTCCCCCTAAATTAATAAACAGCTAGACAAAAGTATTTAAAAGGCACTTAACATTATTAGTGGTTAGAAAATTATGAATTAAGTGTCACTGTTCTATTATTTTAGACCTATTAGGTTGTCTATAATAAAAAAGAATACAATTACAAGAATTAAAGAGAATGTATATGAGCTGGAATTGTCTAACCTTGACAATAAGAATGGAAAGTGGGACAGCTGTTTTAGAAGATAGTTTGGCCTAGAACTACCATGAGAAACATTCAATATTTAAAATTCATGTGTACTAGAAACTTACACATCCATGTTCATAAGTGGCATTGTTTATCACAGTTGAAAGTAGAAACAAATGCCCATCAGTTGCTAAATGGCAAAGCCAAATGTGATATGCATAAAACTGTTTGTATAGATTCACATAATTCATGCTCAGCCATGGAAAGGAATGAAGTGCTAATATTTACTACAACAGAAATTGACTTTGAAACCATCCTGCTAGGTGGAAGAAGCCAGAGACAAAAGGAAACATCATGTTCATTCATATGAGATGCTAGCACTCATGAACCCAGAAAGGGACAACAGGGCTAGGAGAAGGAACCTGGCAGACAGAGTGATGCCTCCAGACTGTTGTGTATAAGCTCAGACAGAAGCACAGAGCTAGTCTATAAGTTAGTATTCCTTCTAAGACTGTCCCCTAAATTGGTGGTTCTCAACTTATGGGCCACAACCCCTTAGAGGTCACTTATCAGCTAAGTATTTTGATTCATAACAGTAAACAAAATTACAGTTATGAATTAGCAACAAAGTGATTTTTATGAGTGTGTGTGTGTGTGTGATCATAACATGAGGGTTGCAGTACTAGGAAGGTTGAGAACCACTGTTCTAAATGATTCCTTAAGGGGTCAGGTTCCACAGCGAAGGCAAACTTTCTACTCTGCAGTGCTTGGGTATGCTTCTGGTGGGGAAGAAGTGGCAAGCAGTGTCTGTGTATGCCATTCTGATTTCTTACCACAATGCTTTCAGACACCTGTCATGCCAAGGGTGGAAACATCCCGGTAGTTATCCACTGACCTCTAAAACTTTTGTGGGAAAGGAAAAAAAAAGCAAACTAACCATTTCCTTCCTCTCACTAAGCAATTGTTCCAGAGAATCTTCTAGAAGTGAAACTCTATTTCTGATGTTCATGTTTCAGAGTTTTAGTTTGAATCTAAAGTTGCTCAATGGCTTCTTTACTTTCTATAATTAGTGTGTGTGTGTGTGTGTGTGTGTGTGTGTGTGTGTGTGTGGAACTGTAAGGACCTAGTCCTAGCTGAATGCCATTTGAGAATTTCTATGGCTGTAGCATGTGGTCCCTCACCCTACTCCTACAGGAGAGGCTCTGAATCCACCATGCTGAGTTTGGTGGGCCAGATGCCAGCTCCACTGTGATTGGGACACGGGTGACGGGTGATGTTTCTCTCTGGAAAGGGTTAACATAAGAAGGGCAGAGTCACCTATGGTTGTTTCCCTATACGGAAAGCTGAAGGCCATGCACATGTGTCATGCTGTGGTGCAATAGAGGGATGGTGGGACAGGGTAATATTACTGGGAATAGTCTATGGGAGTGTGTGTGTGTGTGTGTGTGTGTGTGTGAGAGAGAGAGAGAGAGAGAG